CCCCTTTCCCCACTTTGGGTACCTTCTTTCCCGTCTTTACCACGGGCCTTTTTAGGCTTTGGCTCTGGTTTTAGAGGAGCAGGTTTAGCAGACAACCTTGTGGATTTTCTCTGTGGTTCATCCTTTATGTTGGCTTTATCTCCTTTAGTATCCCCTTCAATCTTCCTCTTGGGCATGTGGGCACTGGACACAGGGATGCAGTGACTCATGGGCTTGGTTGATCTGTAGGTTGTTCTCGCCTCCTTCACACTGCTCTGATTTTCTTTTTAAGCTTTGTTATTTTAGCTTTTATGTGATGTTTATTTTGAATTAATTTTTATGTATAGGATGATATATAGGTTAAGGTATTTTTTTTTTCTAAAAAAATGCGTAATCTCTTTGTTTTACCACGATTTGTTGAGAAGACTTTCCTTTACCCATTAATGACTTGGTCAAAAACAAATGACCATGTAAAGGTAGGTATTTTTCTGGACTGTGTGTTCTATTCTGTCGATCTGCTTGTCAGTACTTATGTTGATACAATATTCTCATCCGTGAGAAATTGTTTTAGAGTAAATTTTGAATTCTGGTAGTTTAAATGCCCAAGCTTTTTTGTTGGATTTCAGCATTGCTTTGCTGTTTTTGTCTTCTTGCATTATTATGTGTGCTTTAGAATGCAGTTTCTACCAAAACAAAACAAAACAAAACAAAACAAGACAAAAAAAAAAACGCCTGTTGGAATTTGAGATTGTTATCTCTTTAGAACAATTTGGAGAGAATTGACATTTTAACAGTATTCAACTTTTCAATCCATGAACATGGCCTATCTCCACTTAAGTTGTCTTTAATGATTTTTTATTTTGCTGTTGTTATTATTAAGCGACATTGTAGAGTTTTCAGTGTCTTTTGGTAGGGATATTTTTTCGTCTACATTCATGAGGTATGATGGTCCGCTCTTCTCTTTTCTTATAATATCTCTAAGATTTTGGGATTAATATGCAGTATTCATAAAATGTGTTGGGAAGTATTTCCTTTTCTTGTTTTTTCTTAAATAATTTTTATAAGATTGGTGTTATTTGTGCCTTAAAAGTTTGATAGAATTCACTAGTGAAACCACCTGGCTGTATAGTTTTTGTGTGTGTGTCTGGGAAGAGTTTTGATAAATTCAATTTCCTTAATAGAGATAGGACTATTTTATATTTTTTGCTCAGCCTTGTGTTAATTTTGACAAGTTGTGTTTTTCAAAGAATTTACACATTTTATATAAAATGTTACATTTAGTATAAAGTTGTTCATAATATCTTATTTTTTAAATTAAGGATCTGAAATGATGTCCCCTATTTCATTTCTGATATTGGTGATTTCTCTTTTTTTTTTTCCTCATTCAGCCTTGGTTTAGCAGATTTTATACTTTTCAGAAATCTGTTTTATGGCTTTGTTGATTTTATGTTTTGCATTTGTTTTCTATTTCATTCATTTTTGCCCTTTACTTTTTTTCTTTCTTCTGTTTTCTTTGGGTTTTATTTGCTACTTGCTTTTGAACTTTTTGAAATAGAAGGTTAGATACTGATTTTCATCCTTCACTTCTAATATATACATTTAAGGTATAAATTGCTGTAAAATCATTGTGTTAATGTTATCTTATAAGTTTCTATAAGTCATTTTTATTATCATTCATTATAAATATTTAAAATACCTATTGTGATTTATTTACTTTGTTCAACTTATGGGTATTTAGAAGTATATAACTTAATTTCTAAGCAATAGGAGATTTTCTAGATTAAAAAAAAAATTTTCGGGCCGGGCGCAGTGGCTCAAGCCTGTAATCCCAGCACTTTGGGAGGCCGAGGCGGGTGGATCACAAGGTCAAGAGATCGAGACCATCCTGGTCAACATGGTGAAACCCCGTCTCTACTAACTACAAAAAATTAGCTGGGCATGGTGGCGCGTGCCTGTAATCCCAGCTACTCAGGAGGCTGAGGCAGGAGAATTGCCTGAACCCAGGAGGCGGAGGTTGCAGTGAGGCGAGATCGCGCCATTGCACTCCAGCCTGGGCAACAAGAGCGAAACTCTGTCTCAAAAAAAAAAAAAAAAAATTTTTCTTCTAGCTGAATTGCATTGTAGTGAGGAAATACACTCTTGAAAGATTTCAGAATTTGCTGATACTTTATGACCTAACATATGATCCATTTTGGTATGTGTTTTGTGTTATAGTTTGTTTTTATTTGGAAGAGCATTTTGCTTATATATATTCTAGTTATTTAATTGTATAGTTCAAATATAGTTTTTTTTTTTGTGTGTGTATATATACTTTATCTTGTAGCTATTGACAAAGGTATGTTGGTCTCCCATGTAATTGTGGATTTATCTGTCACCTTTCAGTTTTGTATATTTTCCGTTTTAATTGTTTTTAAACTTTGTTATTGGGTCCATTGAGATTTAGAATTATGATATATTCGCTAGACGAGATAGCTCATGCCTGTCTTCTCAGCACTTTGGAGGCCGAGATGGGAGGATTGCTTGAGCCCAGGAGTTGGAGACTGGCCTGGGAAACATAGTAAGATTCCATCTTTAGAAAAAAATTAGAAAAATTAGTGGTGTGTAGGGGTTCACGCCAGTAATTCTAGCTACTTGGGTGGCTGGTGTGGGAGGATCACTTGAGCCCAGGAATTTGTGGTTGTAGTGAGCTGTAATCACACCACTGTTCTCCAGCCTGGTTGACACCATGAGACCCTGCCTCAGTACAGACAAACAAAAGAATTATGCTATCTTCTTGTTGATAGTACTTTTTAATTATTAAGAAATGCCTTTCCTTATCTTTTGTAATGCTTACTGCCGTACGTCTACTTTACCTGATATTGACATAATTATGCCACTTTTCTTTTTGTTGGTGTTTGAATAGTATATCTTTTCCCATCATTTTGCATTCACTTCTTCCATATTTATAGTCTTCTACTAGAGTGTTAAACATAATAATGGATATAATTTGAGCTTAAATCTACTACCTTACTATTTGTTTTACATTTATCCACGTATCTGTGCTACTTTTTCTCTTATGTCTTACTTTCTTTGGTTTAGTCAGATGTTTTAAATTATTCTTTTTATCTCCTCAGTTTGCTTTTAGTGAATATCCTAGAGATTACTACATGAGTTTTTGAGTTATTGAAGTCTAACATGAATTGTTACTTCTCTTCTTTGGTAAAACAGATATCTTAGAAACTTCCATTCCATTTACCCTACTCCTCCCTTTTTTATTGTTGTCATGCATTTTACATCTGTCGATGTATTTTAAGGAACAGCCTGTCAATGTTATTTTTGTAGTCATTACTTGTTAATACTAACATATTTACCCTTACAATGGCTCTTCCTTTGTGCATTTATATGCTTTTTTCTAGTATTATTTTCCTTCTGTTGGAAGAACTCTCTTTTAGGAATAAATTCTTTGTTTTTTCTTTTGATTTTTATTTTGTAAAGATATTTTAAGCTGAGAGTAAATTGCTTGATTGGCACCAGGTTTTTTTTTTGTTTGTTTGTTTTTTTCAGAATTTTTATGTCACTATTTTTTGCTATTCGTCATTTCTGTTGATTGTTGCTACTTTAAATGTGTTTTTTGGGGTCTGGCTATTTTAAAGATTATCTTTAGTTTTTAGCAATTTGGCTATGATTTGCTTAGTGTTTTTCTTTGTAGTTATTCAGCTTGAGTTTGACAAGCTTCTTTCAGATGTGGCTTCATGTCTTTAATTAATGTTAGACAATTGTTGGTTGCTAGAACTTCATATATTGCTTCTTCCCAATTTTCACATTCTTATGAAATTTCAGTTATACATATGTTAGAACTTTTCAGTGGTTCCATATGTGTCTAGTACTCTTTTCTATAATGTTTTGTCTTTATCTCTCTGTGCTTTGGTTTGGATATTTTCTGTTGGCCTGTGTCCCACTTCATGTTTGGTCTATTTAATCTGCTGGACACACCAAATACTTACAACACTTTTAGGAAATTTTGCTGTGAAGAAGAGTGAGGATGTAAGAGCAGTAATTGAACTGTGGTGGAGTAAAGAGTGGGGCTTTTTGGACAAGATAGACTAAAGTATGTCTATGTTATGATTGGAATGATTCAGGAGAGAGAAAAATTAAAGCTGTGTGAGAGAAAAGGAAGATAATTTTTTAAGATAAAATCCTTGAGAAGGTGAGTGAGGATGTAATCCAAAGCAATCAGAGGGTTTTTCTTTGGTAAGAGTGGGATATAGAATAGGCATGGATTCCTGTGTAGCTGTAGTCTTGTGAGATAGAATTCTGGCTTCACCAATGGAAATTCTGCAGGTGCTATAAGTTTCTAGAATGTGTGTGGGGGTGTGTGTGTGTGTGTGCATCATGTGGGAAAATTGTCCAAGAATGGAGAGTCAAGTGAAAGGTAGACAGTATTTATAGCCACCTAATTATGTGTTCTACTTCTGTGTATCTTCAGTGATACTTACTTTATTTCTTAGTGTAGTCAAAAGTATTGTAGTATTCTTTTAAGAAACTATTTAAATGTTTAATAGTCTTTTTTGTCATATAGTTACAGCTTTGTACTATATATTTAAACATAGTTAATTGTCTTGTTTTGGTTTAGCACTTTTAGTTTTTTTTAATTTTCATTTTAAATTATGGATAAATAGTTGTATATATTTATGGAGTAAACATAGTTAATTCTTTATAATGAATTTTTAAATTCTTAGTATTTTGGATAGACAATCAAGTTTTCTTTCTTCAAATTTTTATTTAGTTTTACTTTTTATGGGTACATAGTAGGTCTATATATTTATGGGGTACATGAGATGTTTTCATACAGGCATGCAATGTGAAATAAGCACATTATGAAGAATGGGGTATCCCCTCAAGCATTTATTTATTGAATTGAAAACAGTCCAATTGCACTCTTGAAGTTATTTTAAAAACGTACAGTTATTGACTATAGTCACCCTGTTGTGCTATGAAAATCAAGTTTTCTTAAACACATTTTCCTATATTTTCTTTTACAGTTTTGCAGTAGAATAGTATAACCATGTTTCGGAATAGTCTCAAGATGCTGCTTACTGGTGGGAAATCAAGTCGTAAAAACAGGTCAAGTGGTAAGTGAGTATGCTACATTTATTGTGTGTGATATTTTAGAAATATATGTTCTTACAGGGTCCTGAATTAATGCTGTAACACTTTATTAAATGCTTAACTTAGAACTTAAAAGAAAGTTTACATTTCTTTAGGCTTTCATACTCTTTATTAAGAGGTAGCAACGCTTGAATGCTTATCAGGAACAGTCGAGAGAAAGGAAAAGCTTGTGAGGAAAAATATTTATTGCTAATGTATGAGACAGTAATGTTTCTGTGCATTTGCTTATTAAAAACTTTCTAGACCTAAGTTTATTTTTTTGAATTAGCACGTGATTATTGCAGTCCTAGGTACTCTTTGGGGAAGGAAATTATAAAAATAAAAACTGTCCTCAAGATTTATATAGAAAGTAAAATATAAGTTGAATATTTTTATAGGCATTAAAATAAAGTTTGTGGTTTTTTTAGAACAAGGAGTTAAGTCTTAGGCTTTTAAGGTAAATAAACAAAACTATATATATGTTTTTGGTAGAAAATATTGAAAAGGAATGTATTAGAATATTTGTTTTTTATTAATGAGTGGTAGACTTCTGTTGTATTCTTCATAATCTTTTCAACTTACTTTTCTGCAATTTATAAATTTACATTGGTACCATATTTATTATGATTCATTTCAAAATGTTTCTGTAATTCGGATTATGATTTCTTCTTGACCCTTATGTATTTAGAAGTGTACTTAAGAATTTCCAAACTTTTGATGATTTTTGTTAATCTTATTGTAAGAACAAACTCCCTTACATCAACAAAAGGAAAACTCTTTTTCCTCCCCTGCTCCCACCTGTGTTTCTGGCCTCGGGTTTTTTCTTTTTCTTTTCTACAATGATTCAATTCAGTTCTCTGGTAGATACCAACTGGATGTCCTACAATTAAATTCAATTCTGACACTATCTACCCTGAATTAGCACAGACCCCATAGGTTATGATTTCAGTCCTACAAGACTGTTTTTCACTGCAGATACCAATTGCACGTTTTGGATACCCAGCTTACCCACAACTTCTGTCCAACTTGGCTACAAATCAGAGGTTCCCATGACTCCTGTCTCAGGTTCTGTTATTTTCTAGAATGGTGCACACAACTCAGGAAAACAGTTTCTTTACAAGATTACTGGCTTATTAAAGAATACAGTTCAGGAACAGTCTGATGGAAGATGTGGGTAGGGCAAAGTATGGGGGAAAGGGCCCTGGGCTTCTATGCCCTTTTTGGGTATGCCACCTCTCAGCATCTTCCACGTGTTAACCCAGAATCCTATTGAACCCCATCCTTCTGGGTATTTACGGAGGCTCCATTATGCAAATATGATTAATTCATTGGCTATTGGTAATGAACCCAAACTCCAGCCCATCTCTCCTCTCCAGAAGTCAGAGGGTACGAGTGAAAGTTTCAACCCTCTGCTCTCGTGGTTGGCCCCCCTGGCAGACATCCCCTATTCTGAGTCTATTTAGGAGCCCCCAGTTTACTTTGAACATTTCTGTGTGCTTATGCTGTTACAGCATATACTTGGGTTTTCTTTTCTTTTATTCAAACATGCTTTTTCTTTTACGGAAGGCTTTGGGTTACATTAATTTGGTCAGTCATATATTTAGGTATCTGTGTGCTTTCTACTTGGCCTAGCTGTTCTCTGCTTCTTTTTCTCCTTTCTTTCTCTTTCCTCTCTTTCTTTCTTTTGCATTGATCAAAACTTTTTTTTTTTTTTTTTTTTAAAGACTGAGTCTCACTGTGTTGCCCAGTCTGGAGTCTAGGGGCACAAACACAGCTCACTGCAGCCTGAACCTCCTGAGCTCAAGCAGTACTCCCACCTCAGCCTCCTGAGTAGCTGGGACTACAGGTGTACACCACCACACCCAGCTAATTTTTTAAAAAAAGTTTTGTAGAGATGAGATCTCAGTACTTTGTTCAGACTGTTCTTGAACTCCTGGGCTCAAGCAGTCCTCATGCCTTGGCCTTCCAAACATTGGGGTTACAGGTGTGAGTCACCATGCCTGGACTCAAAACATTTTTTATTCCATATTTTCCTCTATTAACTTTGAGATTGTATACTCTTTTGAAATTTTTTCAAGTTACCCTAAAGATTAAAACAATCCTTAGCTTATCAAAGTTTGATATTTAATTGGTATTTTTACCCTCTTCTTGGACAATGCAAGAGCTTTAGATTCTCTTCACCTGTCTTTAAACTCCACAAGACGTTACTGTTGTTGTGTGTAGCCATCGTTACTTAGATATGCCCATATATTTGACCTTTTCATTGATTTTCATTCCTTCCTGTATCCCTGACTTTCTAGATAGAAGTAACTTTATCTGAAGAACACCTTTCATTTTATTTTATTTTATTTTTAGAGACAGGGTCTCACACTGTCACCCAGGCTGGAGTGCAGTGGCACTTGAGTGCTCACAAACTCATAGGCTCAAGCATTCCTCCCACCTCAGATTCTGGAGAAGCTAGGACTACATGTACATACCACTGCACCTGGCTAATTAAAAAAATTTTATTTGTGGAGATGGATCTTGTTATGTTTCCCAGGCTGGTCTTGAACTCTTATCCTCAATTGATCCTCCTACCTTGGCTTCCCAAAGCATTAGGAATTTAGGTATGAGCCATCATGCCTGGAAAAGAACATCTTTTTAGAATTTCCTTTAGTAGGAATTGTCTTATGACAAACTTTACTTTTGTTTATCTGAAAATGTTTTATTTTGCCTTCATTTTTGTGAGGTTTTTTTTTTTTTTCTTAAAGAGATGGAATCTCTGTGTTTTCCAGTGTAAAGTACAGTAGCTATTTATAGATGCAGTCCTAGTGCACTGCAGCCTTAGACTCCCGGGCTCAGGTGAGCCTCCTGTCTTAGCCACCCAAGGAGCTAGGCCTAAAGTGGGTGCCACTCTACCTGGCTATTTCTAGGATACTTTTATTGGGAGTATAATTCTAGGGTGCAGTCATTTTCTTTCAGTATTTTACAATGTTGTTTATTGTTTTCTGGCTTCTTCCATTTTTTTCTGGTGATCAGCTGTCAGTCTAATTGCTACTTCTTTAAAGGCAACTGCCTTTTTTCTAAGTTTTTAGATTTATATTGATTTTCCTAAGAGTATTTCCTTTTTTATCTTTATCATTTAAAAAACCTTCGTATTCTGGCCAAGTGCGGTAGCTCACGCCTGATAATCCCAACACTTTGGGAGGCTGAGGCAGGCGGATCATTTGAGGCCAGAAGTTCAAGACCAGCCTGGCCAACATGGCAAAATCCAGTCTCTACTAAAAATGCGTAAATTAGCCATGTACGTTCTCACATGCCTGTAATCCTAGCTACTTGGGAAGCTGAGGCAGGAGAATCGCTTGAGCTTGGGAAGCAGAGGTTGCAGTGAGCCAAGATTGGGCCACTGCACTCCTGCCTAGGTGACAAAGTAAGACCCTGTCTCAAAAAAAAAAAAATCTTTATCTTCTATTTATGCTTTTATTTATGTTTGTCGAATTTGTTGACTCTGTGGCATGATGTCATTTGTCAGTTTTGGAATTTTTCTCTCATTTTTTTCTTCATTTTTCCCAAAGCTCCAGTTATGCATTTGATAGACCATATGCATATCCTCTCTGACTCCTGTAGTTTTTGTAAATTCTTTTGTCTCTATATGCTTTATGCTGGATATTTTCTTTTGACTTATTTTACATACTTTTCATGCTTTTCTTTCTGTTCCTCAGATTGTATAATCTCAGTTATCTATCTGTAAATTCGCTGATTTTTTTGTCTGCTCAAATCTGCTATCACTTCTACAGAATTTTTTTTTTCGGTTATTGAGTTTTTCAACATCAGAATTTCTATTTGAGTCTTTAAATTTTTAAATCTCTTTATTGTCGTTTATTTGGTGACACATTGTTCTCATACTCTCTAACATAGAGTATCCTTTAGTTTTTTGAACATATATAAAATAGACAATTTAAAGTTGCTTATATCTCCAACATCAAGGCTTCCCTCAGAGATAATGTCCGTTGCTTGCATTTTGCCCTTTGTGTATAGGCCTTACTTTCTTGTGTCTTTGCCTGTCTCATAATTTTTTGTTGAATCCTGGACGTTTTAGAATATATAATGTATCATCTCTGGAAATCAGATTCTCCTCCCTAGGGATTGATTTATGTTGTTGTGTTTGTTTGTTTAGTGACTTCTCTGAACTAATTCTCCAGAATCTGTGTTACTGTGCATGGCCACTAAAGTCTCTGCTTGGTTTGTTTAGTGGTCAATTCATACTAGACAGAAATTTTCTAAAGTGCCTTCCAGTCTTTGTCAAAGGACTTTTTATACTGAGCAAGCTCTGAGTAGGATCAGATAGACAGCTTTGTGGTTGGAATATTCCCAGGAACTAGTAGACAGGTGAAATAATGACAGTTCTTTGGAAATAAAGCTTTGAAGGAACTATAGTCCTCTTTTGCCCATTCCAGTGACTACCAGGCTGTTGTTTTTCATGACTGTAGGTTGTTGACTATTAAGGTTACTGCATAGCTGGAGAGAGGGGACAGGACAGGAATAGAGCAAGTTAAAATGCCACAAAGCTTGTTGTTTTTACCAACATTCAGACATTATTCTTGAATATATGTTGCCTGGATTGCTACAAGTCTTTGACTAAGTTTATTTTGATAGTTTTGCCAGTTTTTTCATTGCATTTTTGGAGAAGAGAAATTCTGGATGTCCTTACTTCTTCATTTTCATTGACATCACCCCACTGTCCACTTTTTGATGTTTTCTTTTAAATATGTATTGGGACTAACCGTGTTATAGATTCAAGCTGCTTTCAAATTTGACATTTAAAAGAATGGTTTATCCCAAATGTATTTTCTGGCCTAGAGCCATCATTTTCATAGATGCCTTCAGTTCACTTTTGAGAGCAGCATTAGCGTTTTCTCTTACTTCACAAGAGTACTTGACCTTAGACCAGATAAGTGACTCATACTATTCTTATTAGAGGAAGACATCATACTAGACTTTTGAA